GCCACAGCGGGGGAGGCAATAAAACGGCTGGCAGGCACCTTCACGTCGACGCGCACACCACATCCGAGTGGGCTGGGAGCACAGATCAAACCGCTCGGAAACACACGCATCAAATCCGCAAAACAAAGTCGCAGTGAATCGACAGGAACTCCCCGCCCAAAACAAATTTAAAAAGTAGCGTTTTTCAAGGGGGAATCCGCTTTTCCGACGACGGCATGGACGCCTCGCAGAAATTTCTTGCAAATCTCCCTTCGCAGTTCCGCAAGAAAACGCAGCGGAATAAAAAGAGAGCGCAACGACGCAAAAAAAAATAATCCGCCTAACCGACCAGGTGGCAGGCTGCCCTCGCGCAAGTGGACAAAACACAACTTCACTCCGGCCTTGTGGTGGTGGTCGTCTCGCAACATTTTCTTCCTTCTCGTCGCAGTGCACATCCCTCTCCCACAAATCATTTGTTCGGGCCATGTTCCTGCGGCCAAACATCGCGCTGCTGGATCCCGCGGCACATTCCTCGGCACAGAAGTGAGGGAAGGAAGAGGGACCGCAGAAGATGCGAGCAAATCCGAATTCGGTGGCGGTCGCTGCAGTGAGGATTGACGTCCCACGCGGTGTCCCTTTTCTAGCTCCGGCCCTCAGCGTGCCATGCTCTCAGCGTGCGGTGCGCCGGCCGCTCCGAACATCCACACGTGCTTGCGTCTCACCGTCGCTCCCAGCCCCGTTCATTGACTGCATCAGGGATGTCGCCATCCGGAGACGGGCATAAGGACGTTGCATCCAACAAAACCTTCAGAGGCGCCCGCTGGGCCAACGACGACCGTCACTGCGGGATGTGTGGCCCTTCCGCCACTCACCTCAAATCGCACTTCCACGCCTCCTCGAGCAGCAGCAGCAGCATAAATACACCGGTCCACTAGGAACCGCCACCAGCCATTGCAGGGAGACCACTGTGCCTCAGTGCTATGAAACCCGAATTGCATTGACGGGCCGCTTCGGAAAATCCTGTCGCATCCTTCCCCATTATGCGGAAACGCATCCGTCGTGCATGTGTCCACCGCAGCCAAGTGAATCCGGTCCAAATACCCTCCAAATTGAATTCCCCTTTCCTCGAGCCATTCCTTCATTCCATACGCCCTGACCCTCATCCGCACGTGCTCACTCACACAAGCCGCCATAGACAGATGGTGGCCGCCCAACGCTCCGGAAAAACATGCCCAGCACGCACGCGCACAACAAATGACATGCGCAAACGCACGGCACGATGGCGGAGAAGCGCACACCGAAAGGATGCGGCCCTCCACAGCAGTCGCAGCCCACCGCGCGCATCACACCCGCAGGAAAAGTGACTCGCGGTGCGCGCTCCCTCTCTCCTCCTTCCCTTCATGTCCACGGAGGAAGCAGCAGCCACCCGCAACCGCCAGCACACGCTACAAAAAAAGCATCAAAATCCACTGCAATGTGTATTTTGTGCGTGCATGTGGTTGTGTGTGTGCCTGCAGACACACGAAGCAAAGAAGTAAAAACAGGAGCAGAGCATGTGAAGGGACGCACAAACAAAAATGTACAGCAGAGGTGCATGGCAGAAATAAAGAGAAAAAGACTGCTCAGGCTCACAATATCGCACTGCAGAAAAAGCAGCGGCAATTCATTAAAAAATTAATAAAAATAAATAAACAAAAATTCATCTTCACCCTTCCACACCACACACTTTGAAAAGAATAAAAAAAAGAAAAAAGAAGAAAAAAATTGGAAAAAGTCGTCCTCTGTTACGGCTACACACAAATAACAGAATAGAAAAAAAGAAAAAGAAAAAAAGAAAAACACACACACAAAAAAAAGGCACCCAACTACCGTGCTGCTCCAGAAATTGTCTGCATATTTTGTCCGAAAATAAAATTAAAAAGGTATTTAAATGTCTTTCAACCGTCTGGCCCTCTGCGTGTCCGCACATCGTTTATATTTCATGGGGTCATCTGCGTGTTGCTGCTCCCCTCAGCCCTTTCATCGGCGTGTGAGTGCAGCCCGCAGAGCACAGTCACTCGTGTGCGGGGACTGAGAGAAGCACGCAGACATGACGGGAGTCGCGTCACTCCATCGGGAGAGTGAGCGCAGCAAAAGAAAAAAAATCATCAGAAGGAAGAGAAATGCTCACGAGGCCGACACCGAAGGGACTGCCGGCGCGAGAAATGCACAGGAAAACAAAAAAAAAACACGGCGGCAAGGTGTGGCTGTGTGTGTGGCGCTGCGGGTGTCTGCCCGCCCTGACCGCAAAGAAAGCAAAACAAGAGGGAAAGAAATGTGTGCTCCGCCCCACAGGCCCTCGTCGCACGCCCACACGTCACGGCTCCCTCAGCGCGCCGTTCGTCGCGGCCCCTCCTCATGCGTGCAGCAGGCGAGGCGCACAGGGCCGTCGTCGTGAGCGTGTCGGTGGGTGTGCGAGTGGAGCAGTTGGGCGGGAAACACACGGCACCCCTCACAGGAAGAGTGCAGAAAAAACGGTTAAAAGAGGGAAGAGTAGAAAAGAAAAAACCGTCCATAGTGGTTGCCCCCAAAAGCAAAAAGAGAAGGGATGAGAGATTAGAAAAAAACATGCACAAAAAGTTAAAAAAAAAAAAATGAAAGTTTTCCTTTACGGAGAGTAATCCACTACCAGAAGTGTGTGCGTCGGTGGTGGGGAAGGGCTGAGGTGTTCCACGCAGAGCCACACACACCTCAAGAAGCGGCAATCCCCCACAATCCAAGCAGAAGGAGCAGCGGCAGCAGTCCGCCTCCGCAAACAGTGCTCCCATCACCATGTGCCCCGCCGTCACGAGCGGTACCGACACCCGTTGCTCCTGCCGCCAATGTTTTCAGGCCTGTCAGCTTTGGAATAGAAATTTTGTTTGCGTTGAGGACGCGGATCTCATTGTCATCCAACGGGCGGTTGTAAAGCAGGACATTCGTCGCGGTCACAGGCACGTCTTCTTTGCTCCCTGCGCTGCCTCCATCCCCTCCAATGTAGAAGTGGGAGATTCCTTTCGAATCCGTGTTTTTCAATTCACATGACGCATCACCCACACGCTGACCATCGACGTACGCGGAGCCCTGTTTTCCGTTCCGTAGCACAATGGCCACTTGGTGTGTTGTCTCTGGCTCCCAATTACTGCGGAGTTCCTTGGTCGTT